CGCCTAGCTTTTGTGGTTCCCGAGTTGAAAGTGCGGGACAAAATGTGGGACACACACACACAAACAAACACACACAGGCCACCTCGTGACAATATGCGTTTTGTAACGCTGTTACACAGCACAAAACGCATAATTAGCAGTTATGCGTCATGAAATTGAGTAAAACGACGATGAACGTTGTGTTTTTATATTACTCATGAACATGCTGCATATCATGCATATTCTAATAGCCACTTTGTTATTATTTAGTCAAAAAGCAAAACACTCTTTTTATTTAATACTTGGTCAAAAAATAAAATTTCTTTTATTTTCGTTCTCTGTCAGAGGCGGGGGCGGTCGAGAAGAGGCGCGAAGATACTACTTGCAAACAGAAATCACCCGTTGGTAAGGCTGTCGATGGTTCTCTCTTTCGAATGTTGTTTATAAATAAGCTGATGGTGGATTTCAACTCAACCATGATATGACCAACCATCGAAACGAATGAACGAATCGCAGAGGAACTGGATGCCTTCAGTGGAGGAATCGAACCCTCGATCTACTACACGACAACAGTGTTACTTGCCAATGCAACATGCCTGCCAGGCTTTTTGTCGACAAACGATCAACTGTATTGGGGCAGAATCGCAATTATCGTTCAGGCCACCAGCAAACTGACCGTTAGGCGATGCAGCATTGGTCAAAGCAATTACAAATAGATGGTTCACTTTCAAAGACCTGTGTGGGAAAGTATATAATAAGCACTTGGAACACAGAGGAAAGTACATAATAAATAGGGCTCACGTACGGGCACGTGAAAACTATGGCGGGAAAATTCATAACTCGCGAATGAAATAAATGGTCACCAGACTAGCCGGTGCGATCATGCGTTTTGTGCAATTCAGCCCATCGAACGATTGCCTGTTAATAATTTTCACTTCCTTGTATTTTAGTCTATGCAGAAATAGTTCTAACATTGAAAAACAGTTAAAAATTTCACGCACCAGCGTATGAAAGCTGATTTTGAAACCTCGAAGGATGAATATCTTTCCGTAATTCCCGAGTTAATAGTTTACCCGCCAAGATTTTCACAAGGCCGTAGGTGATACTCAAGAGCGCGGAAACGATGAATTTGAATAGGCAAGGCCGAGCGTGGGCAGGGGGTCATTACCCTAAAATTTAAGTTCCTAGATCCCGTGGTTCCAGAGATAATAATTTACCCGTAAAAACTTTTACTAGTCCGTAGGCGATACCCAAGAGCGTGGGAATGCTGAATTTGAATGGGCAAGTTGAGCGTGGGCAGAGAGTCATTACCCTAAAATTTCAGCCTCCTAGACTCCATGGTTCCCGGGATATTAGTTTATCTGTAAAAAACTTTTACGGGGCCGTATGTGTTATCCGCGGGTACGGGAAGGCTGAATTTAGATTTGCCGTGTCACCCGTTGGCGGGGGACACTATAACAAAATTTCAGCCGCCTAGCTTTTGTGGTTCCCGATTTGAAAGTGCGGGACAAGATGTGGGACACACACAAAAACACACACACACAGACAACCCCGTGACAATATGCGTTTTGTAATGCTGTTACACAGCACAAAACGCATAAAAAAAAAGCTAGCGAAACATGCTTCAAATAGAAAGCTGCTTCAGGGTCCCATAAGAACAGGGACGAAAGGTGAGGGAGCAGAAAAGCAGTGAGGTCCGGGGCTGGTGATTTAATTCTCGGAGTTCGTAACAACAGAAACAAGCGGGGTTTTCAAGTGGATTTCATAAGGGCGGGGGGGGGGCACTGATAGCTCATCTACACTACTCGTAACTGAGAATATTCACAAAAGCTCACGGGAGTGGGATAGCTGACGGTCATGCGATCGAGCATCACTTCGGAGGGCGGTGCACGGTCTCCCTGAACCACATCGCCACCGGCAACCAGGATTCGCTCGGGCACATTCATCTGATACGCATATCCCGGCATATCGCCCATACTCAACGGACGCTGCTGCTGCTGCTTCACACCGGTGTACGTGATGTGCGATGGCACATGCATCCCCTGCAAACAACCAATTTTTCCCTTACTTTCATTGCAGTGCCACACTTTTACGTAGCCGGGTCCAGGGGGGTCTTTCGCCCCCCTCCCCTTCCCCAGCAGCACAGGCACCAGTGCTACAAAAGTACGAGTTTAAAGTTGAAACTGAAGAAAACTCTCTTGCGTACTCCCCGTCGACCCTTCCCCCCGTCCCAAAGGAGCCCCACTTCCCCCTCCACACCCTCCGCTCGTCGC